TATCAGTATTTTCTCTTGGTAATAGCTTCTATTTCTATATTAAACTGATCATCATATTGATCTGAACTCTTCACTAGAGACTCCTAAAGTTGTGTTTAAACAAAACTAAACAGAGACAAGATCTTTACATTTATAGAATAGATGCCAATGTACTTGTCAGGTTAATTAGAGTAAATAGAAAAATTATGTACACATACACACATTAATGTGGGACTTTTACTTCAATTAATTTTTATGAAGATGATTACTTTTGTGGATATTAAAACATATTTACAAATATAAAAATGGAAAAGGAAAATGTGGTACACACACACACATACACACAGTGGAATACTATTAAGCCATAAAAGGAAGGAAATCCTGACATTTGCAATAACATGAATGAATCTGAAGGACATTATGCTACACGAAATAAGCCAGACACAGAGAGACACATAATGAATGATTTCACTTATATATGGAATCTAAAGTAGTCAAACTCACAGAAGTGGAGAATGTAATGGTGGTTGCCAGGGGCTAGAAAGGGGAGGAGTGGGGGAAATGGGTAGATGTTGGTCAAAGGGTTATAAGTTATAAGATGAACAAGTTTGGGGAATCCAATCTACAGCATGGTGACTATAGTTAACAATACTGTATTGTATACTTAAAATTTGCTAAGAGAATAGATCTTAAATGTCCTCACCACCACCTAACTCCTCCAACAATGGTAACTACATATGGTGCTGAATATGTTTATGAATTTGATTATGCTAATCATTTCACAATGTATACACGTATCAAATCCATCACATTGTACATTCTTGAATATATATAATTTTTTGTCAATTATACCTCAATAAAGCTGGAAAAAATAAAATAGCCACTCTCACTGACAATGCATACAATTTTCTATTTCATCCCACATTTGCTAGCATTAGTTACTAACATTAAAAATAAATCTCTGCTAATCTGAAAAGCAAAAGGGTTTCCACTGTTGTTTGAATTTGTGTGCTGTGTTTGTGAGGTGGAATAGTTTCTCACATACATATGAAAATAAGTTTATTGCATTTCTCTGGTGGGTTGTCTGTGTTCTTGAGCTTTATTAAGTTTTTTATTCCCCTTTATATGATAAAGGTAGTATAAACATGATTCCTTGGTCTGTCATAAGAAATTTGACAACATTTTGATTATAATTTTTTGAATGACATCCAGAACTCTCAATTTACTTATGCTGTCAACTCCGCTCACCATTCCCACAGTGATTTTACTGTAACGTCTAGGTCTTTAATCCTTTAAATGTTTGAGAAAATTAACTCTAAAGACAATTTTTATGGTTTTCCTATCAGTGTTTACTTCACAATCCACCTTGAATTTATTTTTATGTGCTAAGAATTCGAACAAAAAGATTTTCAAATTTTTACTAATTGTCTAATACCAGTCACTCAATATTTTTCTCTCTTGCTTTCCAATATTTTATGATAAACATTTGACTGACTATTGAGGCTTCATTTTTTTTTGGAAGGTTTTCTTGGTCAGTTACGAGTTTTTTTGTTTGTTTGTTTTTGGGACAAAGTCTTGTCCTGTCACCCAGGCTGGAGTGCAATGGCAAGATCTCGGCTCACTGCAACCTCTGCCTCCTGGGTTCAAGTGATTTTCCTGTCTCAGCCTCCCGAGTAGCTGGGATTACAGGCGTGTGCCACCAAGCCCAGCAAATTTTTTTGTATTTTTAGTAGAGAAGGGGTTTCACCATGTTGGCCAGGCTGGTCTTGAACTCCTGACCTCAAGTGATTCACCTGCCTCAGCTTACCAAAGTGCCATAATTACAGGCGTGAGCAACTGTGCCTGGCCACTTGTGAGTTTTTAAATAAAATATTTGAATTCATATGTAGAGATTATCACATTGATGCTTTTGTGATTCTTGTTCCAGCATATACTATTTTAATTACTATAGCTTTTTATTATGTGTTAATTTTTAAAAAGATATTTTTCATTGTTTTTCTCTAAAATATTTTAATTTTCCACTTTGCTTTTGTTTGTAATAAACATTAGAATAAATTGGTCATGATCTCCCCAAAAACCCAATATGGCAAATATAATTGGAACTATATGAAGCTTGTAACTTTATTTGGAAAAAAATCACGCCTTTAGGACATACAGTTATCTCATCCAAGAAATGGCATGCTTCTCCATGGGCTGAGCATTGATAAATGTTCATAGGTATATTTTTCTAATTTTCTTCCTTGAGACTCCATACATTTCTTATTTGTATAATCCATATGTATATATTTGCTGATATTGTGAGAAGATTTTTACTATATTCTGTTTATAATTAATATGCAGGGAAGCCCTTTTTTTTGGTATGTTTATCTGGTTCTCATCGTTTACTGGACTCAGTGCTTCTAATGGATTTTCATGCCTTTGAGTTTTCATTCTACAAGATATATTATTATATCTCCTGCCAAAATGAAACCGTGACAATTTTCTCATTTCTATACTCTTTATTTATTTCATATATTATAGCTCTGGCTAGAACTGAAGAATAATACTCAAGGTGAATGGGAATAGCTATTTTGCTTTGTTTCTGATTTTAAAGTGAGGCATGTAGTGGTTCATAATAAGATTGATTATAATTGAAACATAAACTTCAGTATGCTGGACACTTACTGCTCTTTTTAGAAATTTAGGAATGTGCTGAATTTTATCAAATGCCTTTTCCATTTTTATTGCTCTTATGCATTTCATATGGTATTATTGTAAAATACCATCTGCCTGTCAAGTATTTTAAAACATTAAATTTGCTAAATATTAGTGTTAGATGTAGGTCAAAAATGCAGAAACAGTAGAGTAGGAAGTTCATGAGTTTTAGAGTAAATCAGGCTTGGGGTTCATTTGGCTTTCCCATTTATTTTAGATCAGTTATTTGACATCTCAGAGTTTCACTTTCCTCATCTATAAAATAAAGATAATAATACATATCTCAGTAGAATTGTTGTGAAGATTCAAAGAACTAATCTCTTTAAAACACCTACTGCAGTGTGTAGCATGTATTATTAGTTGTTCAAAAACTAGTTTGAAAGTTAAATTATATGATTTACAGTTCATTTTCATCTTTGTTAGGTTTTTGCATCAGAGTGGTATTTGGTAAATATCTGGCAAATATTACTCAATGTTTGTCATCTTTTCCAGCTTGTGGGATAGTTTATATAGCATGGTGAATGGCTCCCCCTTCAAAAATTCACTACAAGATATATCTGTATGAAAGATTTTTAAATTTCTTTTTAAAATTTTTGTTTTCCTACACTGGTCTTCTCTGCATAGTATGGAAGATTAAAAAATAATATTCTTCAACTATTCTTAGTATCATTACTCTGTGACTCACATTTCTAAATAGTATTATTTCCACACCTCACTTGTATGGTGCTTTACTTCCTTATATTCTCTATATGCCAGGACTACTTTGACTTACTGTGAAGATATAAACCTTTCAGCCTATTCAAAGTAACCCAATACAACCTCCACTTTGAAGGTATACTTATTTAGTAGGTACTTTCAGAACTAAGTGTTGTTTCCAATTGTTTTCTTAGCTTAATTTTTTCTGGTACTATTTTTCTTATTACTCAGATTTGGGGCTATATTTTCTCTTTTCTTTTTGAAATAGGGTCTCACTTTGTCACCCAGGCTGGAGTGAAGTGGTGCGATCTCGGCTCACTGCAGCCTCGACCTCCCAGGTTCAAGCAATCCTCCTGCATCAGCCTCCCCAAGTAGCTGGAACTAGAGGTATGCATCACCATGCCCAGCTCATTTTTGTATTTTTTTTTTGTATTTATTTTTTTTTAGAGATGGGGTTTCTCCATGGTGCTCAGGCTAGTCTCGAACTACTGAGCTCAAGCTATCTGCCCACCTCAGTCTTCAAAAGTGCTAGGATTATAGGTGCAAGCCATTGCACCCAGCCTTTTTGACTGTATTTTTATGTTTTTATGATTATAAATGACAAAGGTCAACATGGTTTGGAAGTTAATGGACTATGAGTAAATTTATTGGAAGGCAGACTCATAAGCGTGTAAGACTGGTCAAGAAAGTGAATGTCAAGAGAAAGAAGGAGGAGTCAATGGCTGAGGGATGCCTATGGTAGTGAAGAGAACCACTAGGAGAATCAAAATCTTTTTCATCTTTCTGCATTCCTCCATGGTGCTACAACACACTCTAAGGCCTGTATGGGAGCAGTTTTCCCAGAGGATGGAGGCAAGTTGATTGAGTTTCCTATTTTAAAACAAAATCTAGGGTTTGAGTTTATTTTCTGAAGTCTGGGGAAGTCTTCATCTTGGTACAAGTATTGTGATAGAGGTAGGTGACAGTGAGGACTGCTTTCTCTTAGGTGGCTGCAATTCTCTTTTGCAGGTGGGACCAGGAGTACAGCTCTGGGGGACGTTTCCCATTTGCCTTTTTCCTTCTCTTTCCCTGTCTTCCCCTTCCTACCTCCTTTCTCCCAAAATAGTGAGTTGTGGCATTACCAGTCCAGGTATCAGCTCTCTGTTAATCTTCCAGTTCTTGCATTTCTTATTCCAGCCATGAGAAAGAAGGCTAGCACTTTCATTGTGAACCAATGTCATTATGCTGTTTCTCCACATCCACGAAGTTAATGCCTACGGCTTTTCAAATGTTGAGAAAAGAATTAGCCAGGCTACCCTGAGTACCAGGACATAATTATGTGGTGGAGAGTACTAGGTCCAACAGTTACTGTCTGATTCAGTGAAAGAAAAAACTTTTTTTATTACACATATTGTAAAGAAGATGGAACCAGAATGAAGGGGTCTCCTTTATTGTAAGGGTTCTCCCATGTGGTGCCAGTGGCACAGATGAAAGATCATGAGTCCTCTCTATGAATCCCTTGGCCACCTCATAAAATGGTACTATCCAGCAAAATATTATTTAGTAGCAAAATATATTTTAATTGAAAAATCATTTTAAGTAACTGAATAAAAACGTGTACCAGCAACTTTCCCAATAGACAGCAGAATATGTACATTTTGTGAGGGTAGAGCAGCATCTCTTTAATATAATTTTTATATAGAAAATACAGGCATATTTAAAAATGGAAAACATGTAAGAAAGTATGTCACAAGGAATAACAAAATATATCACAAAATTAAAAAAGTAACCCCAAGTAACAAGTTTACTAAACAAGACCCAGCACCATGTTGGACTTTCTTTGCATAAGTTCCAGGATGCCCAGGAACTACCAAGGAGAGATGATCCTGCTTTTGGGAGAGCCAGCTGGTCGTGCAGTGGTTAAAACCCAGTCCTCCTTTTCCTGGAAAAAAAAGCAACCAAATAGATTCTAAAGACGAAATTGAACTGAAGAGCTAACATCTCTTTAGGGGTTGATGAAAACAGGATTGAAAGTCCCAGATACCAGGGCATTATCTGTGATGTTTATAGGGATGGGGGTCATTCTTTGAGATAACTAAGAGGCATGCAGTGCTAACTTGGAAAGATCTGAGAAGCATCAGACCTGAGTTTTAGTCTTGATTCTGCCACTAGTTTTCTAATGAACTTAAAGGTCTCTTAGTCCACTAAGAATCTATGGTTTTTAGTTATGGTATTTGCTTAGGATCAGTTTTCTGAAGATGTGCACAGAGGTCAGAGGAAACACAATTTCCTTCTGAACCACTGAATTATCTGGGAAAAAGGTCAGGTCAGTCTTATTTATCAGTACAGAAGGTTAAACATTGAGGGATTTAATGGATGCCATAAGGCATTTCTCTACCAGCTGACAATCATGCCAGGAAATTGCTCCATCTGTTAACAAGCCTTTACTGAGCAGTGATTTTTGTGCCTGTAGAAGGCACTAGGCATGTGTTTTTGTTTTTTAAAACAAGATCTTATTCTGTTGCCCAGGCTGGAGTGCAGTGGCACAGTCTTGGCTCACTGCAACCTCCACCTCCTGGGTTTAAGCAATCCTCCCACCTCAGCCTCCTGAGTTAGCTGAGACTACAGGCGTATGCCACCATGCCTGGCTAATTTTTCTGGGTATTTTTTATAGAGACGGGCTCTTCCTTTGTTGCTCAGGCTGGTCTTGAACTCCTGGATCCAAGTGATCTGCTTGCCTTGGCTTCCCAAATTGCTGGGATTACAGGTGTGAGCCATCACAGTCGGCCCAGCATACAAATTTTAAGGCACTCAGTCTCATAGGAGAGAAGGAAAAAATTATACGGTAACATTTATTGTTTCTTTCTCAGAAAAGCATTCTCCCCCTCCCACTCTCCTTTCTTCTGGGAATTGCCAGACTCTCTTCCCTTTTACCCAGTTTTTTGACAAAATTACCCTTTATGTTGGTACAACATAATCCAACCTAGGACAGTTCATTGATTCATGCTTGGCCATTGAATCAGTCTGGACCAACCAGAGTCCTGGATTTTTAAACTGGGACAGTGTACTATGTCTCTGGATACTGTATGGTGACATGTAAAAAATTCTGTAAGAAATTTTGTCCTGGCCGGGCATGGTGGCTCATGCCTGTGATCCCAGCATTTTGGGAGGCCAAGGTGGGTAAATCACCCGAGGTCAGGAGTTTGAGACCAGCCTGGCCAACATAGTGAAATCCCATCTCCACTAAAAATACAAAAATTAGCTGGGTGTGGTGGCGCATGCCTGTAGTCCCAGCTACTCAGGAGGCCGAGACAGAATTGCTTGAACCCAGGAGGAGGAGGTTGCAGTAAGCCGAGATTGCACACTGCACTCCAGCCTGGGCATCCGAGTGAGACTCTGTCTTTAGGGAAAAAAAAAAAAAAAAAAAGAGAGAAATTCTGTCCTTCCCTTCCATGTGAACCAAACAGAAGAAAACCACTCTGCAGCAAGACAGAGGATGGAGCAGACCCTGGAAGAGGTGGTGACATGGGAGGTGGAGAGGCACACTTGGCTTTCACGTCCCTAGTCTGGTCCTCCTGATGCTCAACCACTCCTTTGTCTTTGGGTTCCATACAAGGTCCCTCTATTGTGATGATAAATCCTCTTCTTTGCTTAAACTGGTTAGAGTTTTAACAAGGATTACAGTATACGGAGGAGGAACCTGCCTGGTCCTCTGGGTTGCTAGTTAGCCTTCCCTTGAATGTGGGTTACACCTCTCAGCTTAATTTGCCATTATTTTTCTTGGATGCCTACATCAAACTTTTGCATAAAAATCTAGATCTTGTTTTTCTTATTAATGTACAATATTTTCATACAAGCTAATAATTATCCTTTCCTCAATCAAGAAAGAACTCCTATGGACAGGTTTTAAATCACGCAAACTCTCTCTGGACTTCCTTTTCTTTATCTCAAAAATGAAGAGGTTAAAATATAAAATCTAATATTTATAAGAAAGTACTAAATACTTTTTTTGAGTCACTGTTTTGTTTTTTTTTCTCTTTTATTTCCTCTTTATTTGGCTCTCATTTTCTTAAATTCAACTCTGCTGTCAGGTAAAGGTATAATCTTGGCAGCTTCTTAATATATTTGTCCATTTCAAATTTGCTGTTTAGGGTTCAGTTTATTTTTTCTTTTTTTGCAGAGATGGCATACACTTGAGATGATGTGAGGAAATTCACTGGCATTACTGTAATTGCTTTTTTTATATTTGCAAGTTGACTTTGACATTCCAATCAAAATAATAAACCAGGAAATGAAAAATAAAAGTTGTTTTCAGTTAACTGAATTTTTCTCACTTTAAAAAATGAATATGGAAATACCCATTTGTTTTTAATGAGTCCTATATGATGGGGGTAAATACAAATCTAATAATACAAATCTAAGTGCAGGGATGTATATTGAAAGTCTTAAAACATAGCTGATAATATGTCAACATTGCAACATTGGTGAGGACAATGAATGTTGAAAATATTTTATCTATGGTATGGCACAATATGGCTGATGATTTTACTGATGTTTAAATATATATAAATGATCTTTTAACTATTTTTCCCTTTGACTTATTTTTGTGATAATATTTTTAAACTATAATATGTATCTCGTCAGAAATGAGAAACCAATGAAAAAACATATTTTTACATAATCATTTTGTAGTCAATGAAATGCTACATATATAAACACTAAAATATAAAACAAAAATATTTTACTTTAAAATAAACATTTCCTATCAATTCAATATGATTTTTATTGTAATGAAGAACTTAAACATCCATTGGGTCATTTTCAATAAAATATATTGTCTATTTATTTTACATCCTTGCATCTGTAGGATGCAATCTTCTGTTCAAGAAGATGATTTATTTATTTATTTATATAACCCATTTTTTTTTTTAATTGCAAAAAATGTGGAATGCTTCAAAAATTTGTGTGTCATCCTCTAGCATGGGTCATACTAATCCTCTCTATGAAGTTCCAGTTTTAGAATATGAGCTGCTGAAGTCAGCACAAGACTGCTTAAGTTTGAGACATTCTTGTTTTATTTGTCAATCCTGAACTAATATTTCTTAGCTTTGGTTTTAGTTCAAATTTAGAGAGCATGTCTCAAAATGGATATTTTCACATACAAAATACTTACAGTCAAACTAGATAGAGATAACTTCTGGCTCTTATGACAATTTACTTGAATTTTAGAGTCTTCATGTTACAGGTGAACATTAGTTTTTGGTTATCTTACCTGGAACAGTTATGTTCCGTCCAAGAAGAAAGACAATGACATCGGTTTGGTCTTACACATTTTCCACCATTTAAGCAGGGAGACTGGCAAACAGCTGGAATAAAAAGCCCACACATTTATTTAATACTTAGCAATCCTGACAATATCCATAAAGGCACATAGGATAAGATTTGCCTCTACTTCCTGCAGCAGCCACTGCTGGTCTTCATATACCGTTAGCATTATCCATTTCTGCTGCTCTGCTTGACCTCACATCCTTATGTGGTACTACCTCCCTTTTTCCTTCCAAGCTGGTCAGTTTTTCACATTTAAGTCCCAGATTAAGTTCTATATACTTATTGAAGGCTTTGCTGATCACTCCAAGTCCACTGATTTTCCTCTTCTCTAATCTTTTTTTATTTATGCCACCAATCTGACACTTTGAGCATTTTGAAGTATAAATTTTGTGTGTTCAATTAGCTTGTACATTTCTTCCTTTTTTTAAAATTTCTTGCCACTGACTTGAAGCTCAAGACTGTAAATTCCTCAAGGGAGTTAGCATTGAACTCTATGATTGACTGGGTGATTAAGTCAGACGTCAACTTTTATGACAATAAATTAGGCACAAAGATTGTCTAAAATAACAGATGATTCAACATCCCTTTGTGTTTGGCAAGGAGACACATTTCACAGTGTCAGCTTTAACTGGAATTACAGAAACTGGTTAGCCACAGATAAAACCCTGAGAGGACACCGAAAGATTTACCATCTAGGTGCCTTTCTCACAAATCCATAATCTCATAACCAAACTCTTCATCTGCATACCTTTGTTAAAAAACCTGAAGATGCTGAAAATTCATCATGACCTAATATCAGCAAGTGTAACATATCAAAGAGAAAGGAGAACTCCTTGTAGGAAGGAAATAAAATGTCTGTTGGGAGAAAGCTGGAAATAAGAACCATTCCAATCTCTGTAGCACAGAAAGGCAGGCTCTTTCCTGGATGAAAAACTCCTTTTTGGTGAAATATAAGTAAATGTCATTTCTTCAGTCATTCATTCATAAAATATGGAGAAAATGTCTGCTAAGCAAGTAGCAGGCACTTGATAAGCACTGGTCCTTGTCCAGACAGAACAAGAGAGAGGACAAGAAGTAAAATACGCTTTTTCCCTTGGGGAGCTCTCTTGGTAAGATTAAGAGCTGGCCAGCAGAATGCACTTACTAGCAATCTCATGGGAAAGAAAATTATGAAACAAAGCAGGATTAAAACAAGCAAAAATAAAACTCAGTAACTGAAAACAAACTCTCCATAGTTTCTGCTTGCTGATATAAGAACACATTACTCTTTTTCAGGACTATGCTGATTTAGCAGTGCCTGACTGCACTAACAAACTAGTCGTTACTTTTACTTCTTTGTCTAAAAACTTAATCCTCCTTCCCTATCACATCGGTGGTCCCAGTGTTCATTCAGGGCCAACTTTTCATGTCGTGTGTCTTCTGCAGTCTTATTTTTCCCCCCATGAGTATCTTTCAATGATGACTTATAAATCTCTATCTTCATCTAAATGAATTTTCTGAGAACCTAAACTATCATCCAACTGCCTATCACTCCCCTTGTATGTTTCACAGTCCCCTCAAACTCAGTGTGTCCATACTTAACTCCTTATGGCTTCTCCTGGCTTCTCCATCCCAGTAAATGGCATCACCTTCCACTCCAATGCCCAAGCTGGAAACAGCTTTTACTCTTCCAAGTAGTTTTGATTCTATGTGGATTCTACCCCTCACAATAGATCTGTAACCAAGTAGCATTGATTCTTACTCTTCACTGTCTCTCAAATCTGCTCTTTTGTGGTTGTTTCTCCTGACTTCATTAATTCTTGCCAATTCTGCTTTTACAACCCCCTCAACGAATCTCTCTATTGTAAGTCTTGCTTTCTTCCACTTTTCATACTGCTGCCAAACTCAGTTTTCTAAAAGAAAATCCGATCACATGATTTTCCTGCTTAAGATCCTTCAGTGGCTTCTGTTGCTCTCAACGCATAATTCAGCATCTTGCACTTGGCATGCGATGCGTTTCCTGATCTGGTGCTGCCCATCTTTAGAGCTTCATTCCAGCCACTCCCCTGCATTTCCTTTATGGCTTTGGTTATCCTTTGCTGAACACACCTGTGTATTTTGTGATTCATGCTTTTAGCTGCCACGATTTTCTGCTGGTGACTCCTTTTGTTTCTCCTCAGATTCTATGCTTGCGAAGCTTTTTCTGAACTTTGACATTTGGTTAGTTTACCCATTTTCACTGTTGTCATAGCCCATTTTATAGATTTTGATTAGCCTCTATCTTAACATATCCTAGTTATCTATTTACAGGCCATTCCGTATCCCTTCCCCTTTCCTAGATTGAAATTCTGGAGAGCAGGAGCCCCTGTTTTATATGCTTATGATATGCTTAGTACTTAGGGGTATAAATAGGATCTATGCTGAGGTAGCTGCTGTAAGATTTGGAAAAACAAAGACCATAATCAGTGTCATTAAGGAGCATATTCTTATTAGAGAGCTAAGGTGTAAAAGAAAGCCACATAAATCAGATCCATTTATTAGCTTTAAACTGCATGATTATAACTAGTTGTGTAACATTTATAGAAATGGAATGTTAGAAAGTAGATTATTGTGATATTGAACAAGTTTTGAGATCAGAGGAAACTTAGGCAGGACTTGGGGGTTGAGTGAGGCTAGAATAGGTGGAGGAAAGAGGCAGATCATGTGCACATGTAAGGAGACTGGGGAGAACAGGCTGCTTGCAGGGGTAGTGAGAAAACTGTCACTGCAGGGCACAGTGTATAATGGTAGGATAAGAAGTGAGTTGTGCTTCAGGTGTGCTGAAGCTGGCTTATGCAGTACCTTGGAAGTCAAAAGAATTCAGGGTGGATGTGGAGACTAAAATAGAGAACCATTTTAGGCTCTTAAACCAGGGCAAAGACATGCCAAAGTAGTACACTGATGATGTTCAGTCTGGAAGGACATGGTGACGAGAAGGTCAACTGGGCCATGATCCAGAATCTTTTACTGGCTGGAGATAGTGGTGTGGAGTAGAATGAGGGATGCTGAGCAGGAATGAACAAAAATAGTGATGGTGCTGTAACCTCAGATGAAAGGGAGGGTGAGTCAAGAGTAATTCATTCATTACTTGCACCAGTAAGGTACCCGGAAAAAAGCAAAGCTTGTTTATAGATGAGCAGGAGAAACGTGGGTAAATATCAAAGTTGATTTGTTATAAACAAACACTGTATAGACTGCTTTCAGAGTCTCAAATAAGGCCTTCAAATTCAGCCTCAGAACATTTTTCCTTCTCTACCTTCATGAATGGCTCAATTTTGGCTTTAAGTGGGTTGATGACTGCCTGTCTGCTTTTGTCTGTAACGGTACTTTTCAGTCTCATTTTTCTGGTTTACTTATTAATAGTGCCTCTTTTACTCTCAAAAATGTCCTGGTTTAGACGCTAAGTTATATGGTCTTCCCAGTCTTAGGGTTCATGACAAGCTCTGGTGTCAGGAAGCCCTGTCTATACTTTACATGCCATTTACATTTTACTCCACTGAGGAAGTGGTATAAACATTGTTTATAGGCAGAATAGTGGTATGTCAGAATTAATACTTAATAAATATAGCAAGTCCTATTTTTTAAATGGTGGCTTAAAATTTTAGGACATTAGAAAGATAGTTTGTCATTTTAAATTGAGTTATTTGATATTTACTAAAAATACCTACTGTATTTGGGCACTACGCTAAGCACTGGGGATATAAAGATGATAAAATCCTTGCCCTTAGGTGGTGTATAATCTAGTGGGGGAAGGGATAGATAATCAAGCAAATGAACAGATGTCAAAGTAAGTGGGCCAAATGCTGTATTTGAGGTCCGCAAGAGGTGCTAAGAGAATGTTTGTTACGAATCAATCAACTATCATTTGTTACTGTTGTCCATGATAAGAAACCATCTCTTTGATGAGTTTTGTAATTTTTTTCCTTCTTTCTTTAAACTTTTTTTTAACTCTTAGGTTCAAGGTCTGTTGTATAAGTACACTTGTGTCACGGGAGTTTGCTGTACAGATTATTTCATCACTCAGGTACTAAGCCTAGTTCCCAATAGTTATTTTTTCTGATCCTCTCCTTCCTCCCACCCTCTACCCTCAAGTAGGCTTCAGTGTCTATTGTTCCTCTCTCTGTGTTCATATGTTCTGATCATTTAGCTCCCACCATTTAGCTCCCACTTATAAGTGAGAACGTGTGGTATTTGGTTTTCTGTTCCTGCGTTAGTTTTCTAAGGATGATGGCCTCCAGCTCCATCCATATCCCCTGATCTCGTTCTTTTTTATGGCTGCAGGGCTGTTACTAAAAAGTAAAAAAATAGGCTGGATGCAGTGACTCATGCCTGTAATCTCAACACTTTGGGAGGTCAAGGTGGGTGGATCACTTGAGGTCAGGAGTTCAAGATCAGCCTGGCCAACGTGATTAAACTCTGTCTCTACTAAAAATAGAAAAATTAGCAGGGTGTGACAGAAGGTGCCTGTAATCCCATCTACTTGGGAGGCTGAGGCAGGAGAATCACTTGAACCTGGGAGGTGGAGGTTTCAGTGAGTCAAGATCACGCCACCGCACTCCAGCCTGGGTGACCAGAGTGAAACTCTGTCTCGAAAAACAAAACAAAACAAAACAAAACAGATGCTGGCGAGGTTGTGGAGAAAAGGGAACACTTATACACTGTTGGTAAGAGTATAAATTAGTTCAACCATTGAGGAAAGCAGTATGGCGATTCCTCAAAGACCTAAAAACAGAACTACCATTCAACCCAGCAATCCCATTACTGGGTATATACCCAAGGGAATAGAAATCATTCTACCATAAAGACACATGCATGTGTATTGCAGCACCATGCACAATAGCAAAGACATGGAATCAATCTAAATACTCATCAATGGTAGACTGGATAAAGTGATTTTTTAAAAAATTTTAACTTAAATTGTATTTATGTATAACCTTGTTCTTTCTAAAGAGTAAGCATGAATTTAGTAATTTAGCTTCTCAGAGATTAAAATAAATATTCTGAACCTCTGTGTAATGTCTTCTCTATGCTCTGCAAAATGAAGCAGATGACATAAAGAAGACAGATAATTGAGTCGACTTAGATGCTATTCTTTGGCACATGACTAGCAAACGTGTTTAGGCAACCATAAAATTCAGTGTTGAGACACCAATTGAGGGATCATCTTGAGGAATTTTTGAGAAACATCAGTACTTTTTCACTTTACCACCACTTCTGAGTCTGAGTCATACTCTTTAATGTCCTCTGGAGTTTCATGGGATTGAGCCACCAAGAAAACAAACCATGAAAGAGGCCTACCTATATGACAGCGAGACCCCGTCCAGCCAGGCGGGCAGTCACACTGGTAAGGGGCCACACAGCGACCTCCGTTCAGACAGGGAAGAATGCAGATTGCTTAAAAAAAAAAAAAAAAAAAAAAAAAGGGAGCGGGGGTTGAAATGGCATTGATCAAAATACACATCTCAGATAGGTTCAAGAGTTCAGAAAACATTTTGCAGGAGTGAAACTTTATATGACTCACTAAATAACTTTCCTGCATGTGCTCTGCTTATTAATGAGTATCACTGGGAAAACACAATCAGGAAAGTAAGCCTGGATTCTTAGCCAGATATAATGACTCTAAGGCCAAATCTTCTTTCAGTGAAGACACTCGGTAATCAGTGTCTGCAAAGTGCTTTGTGTTAACTCTTCACAAAATAAGCAGAACGGTCTCCATTTATTATAGTTTCAGATTTCCATTACAAATTACACAAAATGTTCTAAGAGGATTTGGCTGCCTTGAGGCTCTCTTCCTGTCTTGAATTAAATGTGAGAATGCGAATCAGATGGGCTATAACATAGGGTTGGAGTTTGCAACATTTTGGTAGCAATGGGACAACACACCCTTGATTTCCGAGAAGCTGAAGCCTGATGGTGACTGAATGATGCCTCCCCTACACTGTCCGTGACTATCATTCCTCCTCCTAGAAACAATTGAAATCTTTAAAGAGGCATAGTCTGTTTAGAAGATGTGAGATTGTTGCCTTGCTCCTCAAAATCAAGTTCCCTAACCAATAGTCTTGGCATCACCTAGGAGTTGGTTAGCAACGCAGATGTCAGGTACCAACCCAGATCTGCTGATCTCCCAGATGATCTGTATGCACAGCAAAGCTTGGGAAGCCCTGGTGTAATGAAGGAGGGCAGGCATACGCTCAGTGAGCCAGGCCAGCTAAGCCAGCCAAGCCAGGCCTGTCACGAGGTACCCCAAAGTCAAAGCTCACTAAGTCTTTGGACTCTTGACACAAGAACAGGTTAAGTCTGTGAGCTCTAGGTGAAATGGAATGATTGGGGTGAGCTGGAAGAGAAAAGTGTGATTTTTCTTCTTTTTTAATCACTTGAGAATACTTGTTTTGGTGAGTTGTTAGCAGCCTAAATTTATTTCCATCATACATTAGTTGAAAAAGTCACACTTAAAACATTTTAGTCTCTTACAAAATTTCTACCCTTTAGGAAAAACTGGTATAGACCAATGGCCATCACATGAATCACTCTTAATGGCTTATATACACTGCTCCCATTGAAATATGAAACCATTTTATCCTTATATATATTTTAAGATATTGAAATAAAGTGTAGTTGAGATATTTAAAAAATTTAACATCATTGTCTATACCTCCCTGGAATTTCAAATTCAAATGTGTTTCTATAAGGATCAAAATTCTATATTAATTTACCAAGTATGGATATAGGAGTGCCAGCTTTCCTTATTTTCTTAATTAGTATAAACCATTCTTAACAACAAAGAGGAAATGGTGAGCTGCAAATATTACCTGCAAAGTACATGTTTTGCAGTGGTGCCCGTTTACACCAACTGTAGCAATGACTGACATAGCACATAGTAGACCCTGAGTTAAGGGAAGAGGATGGCTTGGAAACTTTACAACAAGCTCCTTCTCAAGAAGACTTTTGCAAATTTGTGCCAGGGAGCATGTGAAGATGACTTTAGATGGATCTGAATAACAGTATTTTCAAAGTCATGAATATTTTAGATCTTCTGCAACCTATTGACACATATGTGCACTGTTTGGTGTGGACAAGGACTTACAGCAAATGAATTCTTCCCAATACTACAACCATTTCCTGGTAACTCCCCTCAGGTGGGAGCATCCAGGCAATTTGTCAGGACACAAAGCTCTGAAGAGCAACTCACGTTCTTCACAGAGGCGCCCCATCCAGCCCTCTGGACAGGAACAAGCATTTGGGCGTTGGCAGATGCCCCCATTCTGACATGGGAATCGACAGACGGCTGGAAAAGAAGCAGGATGGGTCACAAATGTAGGGAATTATGGAAGGGAAGGAGTCAGAAAATAGGATTCCTCCTTTATATTTCATACTATTTCCTTGAGTCAAGCTTTCAGGAAGAGAAACAAAAATCGAATCTCAAGAGGAAATTTCAGTATGTGGAGAAATACAGCATTATATTGGCTGCTATTATTGCAGTTTTCCCTGTAGCTTTATTAAGGTACAACAAATAAAAATTGTATATATTTAAGGTTTACGACCTGATGTTTTGATTATGTACAAATTGTGAAATAATCACAAGTGAGCTAATTAGCACATTCATCCCGTCACATAGTTATTGTTTTCTATCTTTTTTTGTGGTGAGAACACAAGATCTATCCTTTCAGCAAATTTTCAATATACAATACAGTATTGTTAACTACAGTCACATTGCTGGATGTTAGAACTCTAGAACTTATTCATCTTGTATAACTGAAACTTTGATACTTTGACTAACATCTCCCTATCCTTACTCCCCTCCCAGCTCCTGGGAACCACCATCTACTCTCTGCTTCTTTGAGGTGGACTATTTTAGATTGCACCTATCAGCAAAATTGGGCGGTGTATGTCATTCTGTGTCTGGCTTATTTTATGTAGCATGATGTCCTCCAGGTTAATCTATGTGTTGTAAATGGCAGGATTTTCTTCTTTTATAAAGCTGAATAATATTTCATTGTGTCTACCTATTTTTATCTACATGTCTATGTAATCTATCTTCTTATCATCATCATCCTTCTATCAGCACACACTTTTTTAAATCCATTTATCTGTCAACAGACATTTATGTTGTTTCAATATCACACACACAACACTCATTCTGACTTTATAATTTAACTGAAGTCTGGGATATTCCTTTAAGATGTCCCCCCTCAACAACTCTCTCAAAAGGCTTTACATTCTCTTACATCCCATGTATCGATGATCTCACTTCTTATTGTTGCTGTCAGACAATGAATCCTCTTTCTCGTGCGATAGCCCCTGTTTCTTTTGAGGCTCATGCCATTCATCCATTGACTTCCTCAATATTTCTTGCCTCACCAGTTATTAAAGTCCAAATCTGAACACTGTTTATGTGGTCAACTCATCCAACAACTCAATTATTCTTGTAGTTCCTTGGTTATATCTGTGTATACCAGCGTACTTCTTGACTTTTAGCAAATATTTGTAGAATGAATGAAATTATTATGATGTATAAAAGCTATATTTTATTAGAAAAGTGTAGGTTTTAGAAGGACATAATACTAGGATGCCTCATTACCTCTTTCTGTTTTGCAGAATTTCAAGCACAGAACCTCAGAGTTCTGTGTGCTTTTAAAACTCAAACCATAACATTAAAAGAAAATGACACAGCTGCTAAAAGAAATTTTAAAGCCAAGGAAAAATAAAGCAGCATGCATATTAATTGTTGGACAAATCAGATTTCTAAACACATTTCCCCGCAATTTCACTAAGAAATAATCATGCAAATATTTCCTTACCTCTGCAAATAGGAGGTGATGTCCATGTTCCATTTTCTAAACAAACACTCCTTAGGGAACCCTCCAACATGTATCCACTGTAACATGAGTAGGTGATCATGTCTCCGTATTGATAATGTACGCCTCGAGCAATTGCATTTTCTACGTGAGCTGGTGGACCACACGAGATTTCTACAGGAAAACAAAACAACAATTAAGCTTGTGCTATTAACACAGACTGAGAACACAGTCTCATCTCGCAGAATGAATTAAAGAGCAAAAATAAAATACATGAGGGAAACATTTTCACCTACTTCTCTAGAATAGTAAGAACTAAATAATTAACTGCTGCTGTTGAGAAAAATTAGACATACAAAGATAAAAGGTTTTTTGTCTTCTGATTCAAATGTTGAAGGACAGTCTATTTTAAACCTAAGGAAAGCAGTCTATAGGACACCAAGAATTAGCTCTTGTACCTTCTCAGATAACTGGCTGCAAGAGACTTTCAAACAGGATGCTTGTTAAATGAGGAGAGAAAGCATGATGATTGTAGTCTACTGTTTCAGAGTAAAGATCATTAATTGTAGTACTGCATATTGTATCAGGGCTATTTTGTTAATGCCTAGAACAGTGCCTAGCATGCAACATGCTCTTGAAAATGAGTCAATGAATGAATATTGTCTCTAGTCTATAGATGCTCAATGAATACAACTTGATCCGGTTTATGAAATTCAAGGTTTCATGTTACTTTTCCTCTTTTCAATACTGTAAAAGAGTGACTTTCGGCTGGGCGCAGTGGCTCAAGCCCGTAATCCCAGCACTTTGGGAGGCCGAAACGGGCGGATTATGAGGTCAGGAGATCGAGACCATCCTGGCTAACACGGTGAAATCCTGTCTCTACTAAAAAATACAAAAAACTAGCCGGGCGAGGTGGTGGGTGCCTGTAGTCCCAGCTACTCCGGAGGCTGAGGCAGGAGAATGGCATAAACCCGGGAGGCGGAGCTTACAGTGAGCTGAGATCCGGCCACTACACTCCAGCCTGGGCGACAGAGCGAGACTCTGTCTCAAAAAAAAAAAAAAAAAAAGAGTGACTTTCTGATTTTGGGATCTGTGTTAGATTGGATGATAATCCTCTCTTTTTGAAAGGGACATGTGATATATATTTAAATAGAAATTTTTATAACTGATACTGTTTTGAGAATTTTACAAGAAGCCTTAAGATAATTAGAATTATTCCATGGTGGGGCACAAGGCAAGGGCTAGATTGGTGTCAGGATTCTAATCAGAATCTAGTTTGTTCAACTTTTGAATGAAGAGTCCTTATAAGCTGGCTTCTAAAAGGTCACTTTGTTGTCATAATACTACCAAAAACTTGTTAGGGGAGATAATGAATTTGTACGATTTTTCTAAAATTTTTTCCCCTCTAAGGTGGACAAAATACCTACTATGCAACAGAAATCAGAAGGAAATAAATGAATTATGTTTACTGATTTGCATATGTTGAACCAGCCTTGCATCCAGGGGAAGAAGGCATCTTTTTTTTTTTTTTTTTTTTTGATGTGCTGCTGGATTTGGTTCTCCAGTATTTTATTGAGGATTTTTGTATGATGTTCATCGGGGAAATTGGCCTAAAGTTTTTTTTCTTGTATTTCTGCCAGGTTTTGGTATCAGAATGATGCTGGCCTCATAAAATGAGTTAGGCAGGAGTCCCTCCTTTTCAATTGTTTGGAATAGTTTCTGAAGGAATGGTACCAGCTACTCTTTGTACCACTGGGAGAATTCAGCTGTAAATGTCTGGTCCTTGGCTTCTTTTGGTTGGTAGGCTATTTAGTACTGCATCAATTTCAGAACTGGTTATTGGCCTATTCAGGAATTCAACTTTTTCCTGCTTCAGTCTTTCAAGGGTGCATGTGTCCAGGAATTTATCCATTTCTTCTAGATTTTCTAGTTTATGTGCATAGAGGTATTTATAGTATTCTCTGATGGTAGTTTGTATTTCTGTGGGGTCAGTGGTGATATCCCCTTTATCATTTTTTATTGTGTTTATTTGATTCTTCTCTCTTTTCTTATTAGTCTAGCTAGCAGTCTATTTTATTACTTTTTTCAAAAAAGTTCCTTGATTAATTCATTGTTTTGAAGGGTTTTTCGTGTATCTCCTTCAGTTCTGCTCTGATCTTGGTTATTTCTTGTCTTCTGCTAGCTTTAGGGTTTGCTCTTGGTTCTCTAGTTCTTTTAGTTGTGATGTTAGGGTGTCAATTTGAGATCTTTCTACCTTTATGATGTGGGCATTTAGTGCTATACATTTCCCTTTAACACTGCTTTAACTGTGTCTCAGAGATTCTGGTACATTGTCTCATTGTTCTCATTGCTTTCAAAGAACTTGATTTCTTTCTTAATTTCATTATGTACCCAGGAGTCATTCAGAAGCAAGATTGTTCAATTTCCACGTTGTTGTGTGGTTTTGAGTTTCTTAATCCTGAGTTCAAATTTGATTGAGCTGTGGTCTAGAGAATGTTATGATTACAGTTGTTTTGCCTTTGCTGAGGAGTGTTTTACTTCCAATTATGTGATAAATTTTAGAGTAAGTGCTGTGTAGCAATGAGAAGAATGTATATTCTGTTGTTTGGGGGTGGAGAGTTCTGCAGATGTCTATCAAGATCACTTGATCCAGAGCTGAGTTCAAGTGCTGAATATCCTTGTTAATTTTCTGTCTCGATGATCTAATATTGACAGTGGGGTGTTAAAGTCTCCCACTATTATTGTGTAAACATCAAAGTCTATTTGTAGGTCTCTAAGAACTTGATTTATGAATTTGGGTGCTCCTGTACTGGGTGCATATATATTTAGGATAGTTAGTTCTTCTTGTTGAACTGAACACTTTACCATTATGAAATGCCCTTCTTTGTCTTTTTTGATCTTTGCTGGTTTAAAGTCTGTTTTGTCAGAAACTAGAATTACAACCCCTGTTTTTTTTCTGCTTTTCATATGCTTGGCATTTTGTGTCTTTCAACTGGGGGCATTTAACTCATTTATATTTAAGGTTAGCATTGTTATGTGTGAATTTGATCCTGTCATCATGATGCTAGGTGGTTATTTTGCAGACTTGTTAATGTAGTTGCTTCATCTTGTTACGATCTTTGTACTTCAGCGTGTTTTCTTTTTTTTAATACTTTATGTTCTAGGGTACATGTGCACAACGGGCAGGTTTGTTATATATGTATATAGGTGCCATGTTAGTGTGCTGCACCCACTAACTCGTCATTTACATTAGGAATATCTCCTAATGCTATCCCTCCCCTCACCCCCATCTCACAACAGGCCCTGGTGTATGATGTTCCCCTTCCTGTGTCCAAGTGATCTCATTGTTCAATTCCCACCTA